GGATGAAGAATGGTTGTGGGTACCCTGGTTTGAAGCACTTCCACTGACGTGGCAGGTCCAGGTGACACATGGCACACACAAACTGCCTGGTCAATTCCTGGTCAACATTGTCAACTGGGTTGGTGCTGCAGAACAGTTTGAAGGCACAGTGAGAGACGTCAGTGATGCAGAATTCGTTTGTCTTTTACTTTTAGATAGGGCTTTCCAGTTCCCTTTTTCCATTGATGGTTCGTTGCAACTTTGCATGAGATGTCCAGATCAGTTGTTTCAACGACCGACTTTTGGAGCCATTTTACGACCATTACAATAAGCTCTGGCCATATTACATAATCTTTTTCCCCAAGTGATCATGAGGACTCCACCGGTCCCCAAACCTTTATTGGGGCTGTACATGCCTTTGCGTGGACTGCGGATACACATCCCAGATTCACTTTGGTTGGAGGCCAGATCCAAACTTAGAGGCTTTTTAGCCACACGTGCTATTAGGCGCGCATGTGACCTGGCGCGACCAGCGCCCGCATGAACCAGGACCGGCTGCTACTGCACTGCTCCGCCGTGCATGCAGCCTGTGCAATCCGTCCGAGCTATAGTTTGTAAAATTTTAAAAAGTTGCTTTTAAAATATATTGAAATATTAAAACTGTGCATATGTGCTGAATAATTTGATATTTTTTTAAAAATGATTTCTTTCAATAAATTATATCCACAATCAGTTCCAAAACATTCAGTGGATCAGTTCAAAGGTATTGGAATGAAATTTTTTATTTTTTTAAACAAATATTTTTTTTTGTCAAAATATGTTCAAAAAACTAATTTCTATCCATCAATTATGTCCACAATCAGGTTTAAAACATTCAGTGGTTCATTTTCAAGGTATTGGAATGAAATTTAAAAGATTTTTTTTTGATTTTTTTTTGGTCGAAATTTGGTTCAAAAATGTCATTTCTATCCATAAATTGTGTCCACAATCAATTTTTTAATGGTAATCTTATTTTATGGATCGAAATCTTATTTTTTTGAAAATTTTTAATGTCAAAATATGTTTCTCCCGCTGAGGTCCCGCTGCGGTTGGTCTTACTGTTCCTGCACTATTCCCGCACTATTCCTGTGCTATTCCTGCACTATTCCTGTGCTATTCCTGTGCTATTCCTACTGTATTTTCCATAATCTGCATGATCTTTCAACATTCACAATAGAAATAATCAACCTGAACATGATCACTTGGTTCATATTTTTCCACATCGTGAATATGTTTCCCTTTGAGACGTGTTAAACAAATCCAACAAACAGCATTGCCTACGGAAGGCCCCAAGAACACGATCTGCATCGCCGGGGAGATCAGACAAGAAACCTGGGGCAAAACAGGCCGCCAAAGCCAAGAACAAGGTGGCACCTGCAGCACGAAGCAAATTGATGCCAGGAATGGAAATGAAAGGGGCCCGTGGAAAGGATGAAGTCAAGAATGAATCTTGGATTTAAAGGTTTGCTCAATATTGGTATTATGGCATGTCATGGCATAAACAAAATGGAATACATTAGAAATAACCAGAAAAATGATATGGCAGGTTTTTCAACAGAATTTTAACGCTTTGTTATCTTTTGAAAATGCCAATCTATGCTGGGGACTTCTGAGCGCAGTTTAGGCCCCCAATTACAAATGTAGAATGTTTAGCCATTTGCAAACAGAAACATACGGAACCAGCATTTCGAAAAGACTGAAAAAGGGATGCCTGTATTGCACCTTTATTTCTACCTTATTTCAAAGTTGTGAATGCCCCTTGCATTGACCGTCATTTATGCTTGCAAGCAGCCTGCAGGTGTAAACTTCGTGTCCCGATTGAAAACTGGATAATTTGCTCGTTGGCATTCGTTTAAGCCACCTCATTTTCTTGTTTTCACGGTTCGCCACCTCACCCATGTGGCTGAAAATTCAAATTGGTTGGCAATATATTTTCAGATTGTGGTCATTTTTCGAAACGGAGTTATTATTCTTATGTCTTATTCTGACCTTATTTCCACCTTATTTCATTTATTATTGTTCCATTATTAATTACGCGCCCACAGCAAAAATAGTGAGTTCCTTCATGTCCCTATTCAAATACTGGATGGTTTTTTCTTCGGCATTTGTTTAAACCACCCCATTGTCTTGTTTTCAGGGCTCACCACCCCACCCATGTGGTTGACCTCCTCATTCTCAAAAAAAGGTTAGATATGATCAGATTGGGGTCATTTTGTTGACAAGGGGGTATACCTTATTCCAACCTTATTACAGCCTTATTTCAATTTATTTCATGTTTATTTTCCCTCATGCACCATAATTACCAGATAATTACCATTGAATCACCCCTTAAGGACAATCTTGACCAAACCCCACCCAAGATTCTGAGGATGGTAGTGGCTGCGATCGCGATGAATTTTTCTCTTTCGGAGAATCGGACGGAGAAAAGCGGAGCAAACCCAAAGACCCCTTTCTCTACACAGAGGGAGGAAAAAACGTCTTGTTTGACCCAATTTCAAAGAAGAAACTCACGCTCCCGGACCTTGAACATCCAGACATGTGGGTAGTGAGACGTGATGATCACGGTTTTTGGCTTCTATGCTGCAGCTTCGATACCTACAGCCCAAAACCTGTGAAGAAAGTCATGACCCACAAGAATGCTGAAGACTGGTAGCTAGTCTCAACTACTATTATTTAAAGGGTTGTGTTGCTGTTTTAAGGCATGCAGTACATGTACCAGTTCAGAAATAAGGCCTGAATAGGCTAGTAATAAGGGCATGTATTCCGTGAAACTCACTTTTTTGTGTGTAGGCGGGTTCTAAACCATGGAGCCCACCAGCCCTTTCAGTGTTTCTTAGTTTCTTCGCCTAAAACCTAGGTCACCGGAGTGGCCTGACAAGCACAAGAAATCAGAAAAAGCGAAGCCATCAGCTGCAGGCGGACCGAAAAGGAAGGGAGACAGGTCAAACAATGATGAACCCACACAAGATTACCAACAAAAGAGATCGAAGATTCGGGAAGAGTCAGCGTCACAGGCCTTGCTGAAAGCCAAGAAGGAATCAGAGCGCCCGACAAAAAGACAGACCCAGGAGGAGAAGGAAGGCCGAAGAGAATGCGAGACTGAAGGAAGAAGACGAACACAAGAGACAGCGGCATGAGAGCAGACAGGCAGAGAAGATGGCCAGAGAAGCGGCAGAGAAACAGCTCGCAGATGCGCAGAGGAAGAAGGCAGAGAGAGCCAGAAACGAGGCAGAAAATCGGGAGCTGAGGCTGAAGCCATCAGAGCAGAGAATTAGACTGGCGAAGGAAAGGGGTGCCGCTTCTAAGGCAGATAGAAATGAACTCGACCAAAAAATAAGAGAGAAAGAAGAAGCAGCCCAAAAAAAGGAACAGGAGGCGGCAGAAAAGAAAAAAAGACGACAAGAAGAAGAAAAGGAGAAAGAGAAGGAGCAAGCTGCCGCAGACAGACGACAAAAAGACAAGGAACGGGAGGAGGCGAAAGCGAAGCAGAAGGAGAATGCCGAGAAGAAAAGGAAGCAGATTGAAGAGAAGGAGAAGGCAAGGATGCAGCTTGAAAAGCAGGAGGAAGAGAAGAGAAGGAAGCAGAAGGATCAGAAAGATGAGAACAGAAGGAAGGAGAAAGAGTTTCAGGAGAGAAAAAAGACAGACCGGCAATCCAAGACACAGATGGAACAGCAGGAGGACGCGAAGGAGTCAAGCCCGGGAGAAGAATCCGAAGAGAGAAAGGCAGAGACAGCAAGGAGAAGACTGAGAAGACCAAGGTCCGAGGCAGAGGCTGAAACCCCTACGAAGAAGCTGAAAGGGGAGACAACAAAGAGGGCAGAATTGCAAAAGGCGGAGGAAGACGAAGAGACCAAGGACGACAAAGAAGAAGAGGTTGCTACACATGGGGGATCAGGGGCAGAGGATGACAAAGACGAGGAAGAGAACGATGTTGAAAAGGGCAACGAAGGAGAAGAGGAAGAGGAGGAACCGGCCAACGAGCCATTTGCATTTGAGGACGACGAGGAACTTGACGACAAGGATTCGGACGACAAGGGTGGCTCAGACAAGGGTGATGGATCAGACAATGACAAGGGTGGCTCAGACACTGGTGGCCATGGCTCAGGACGCCATGGTCGGGACAAGGATGGGTCAGACAAGGGTGGCCATGGCTCGGACAAGCGAGGCAAGGATGAAAGCTTCTTCGGCAACCTCAGCCCGGAGGGCCAGGAGGAGGCTGAAGACTTGACAGATGAGGGAGGGAGGGGAAAGAATGAAGAGAAGGAAGAGAAGCAGGAAGAGAAGCAGGAAGAGAAGAAGGAAGAGGAAGAACAAGAGCAGGAGAAGGAAAAAGAAGTTGAGAAGTCCCCTTCACCCCTGAAAGTCCCACAAGAGGAGGCCGATTTGAAGGAGTTGAAAGAATTGACCAGCCCAGAGAAGAGGAACAAGGAGAGAGTGAAGCAGGACCGTGGGAAACGTTTACTTTAGCATCAATTAATGAACTTCTCCCATTTTTGACATTTCTGGCACTCCAATGGCGGTAGTCTTCCGTATTGCACTAATGCTGTCTTATTTCAATGCTATTTCTTCCTGGGCTTTCTGGAGGCCCGGATGGGGCAGGCCGTGAGAGATGCGACACGGAAAATGAATGACCTGAAGCATCGGGCTTAATTACTGTAACACTCGTTGGTTTTCCTGGATAGGGCAAGTTTGTCAGCAGATTGTGAGCTAACCATTTTGTCAGCCGGGTTTTGTCAAGGTCTCTCCCAAAAGAACGGAGATTGAAGGGGTTTCGAGAACTTTTACGAGAGTGGCATCCAGACAAGAACCTTGAAAACGCAGAGGCAAAATGAACAATTTGGACAAAAATATCATGTCCAGTTTTTTGCTCTAGCCGTTCAAACCTAAAGTCTTCAAAACTGTTCCCGGCAATGCTCGGGCAGGTGGCCACTACTGTATTCCAGCACTTGCAGAAAATCAAGCCTATGTTGGGTGTCGAGTGATGAGACCGCCTTCAACGGCTCTTTGATTTGAGCCAGTTTTCTCATCATTATTGGTTCGGTAGGAGCCTAATGCAGGGTTAATCCAGCTCTATTTCTCCCTAACTCTTGTTTAGTTTATATTTGGGATCACCTGGTGGGACCAATTCAGTCCAGTGGCGACAGACAGACAGGACGCCGAGTCTCCATCACTTGATGAGCTGCTGTCGCGAAATGATGAGAAAGAATGGGGGGTCACTCCTGGTAAGAGACGTAAATCTCCCAGACTTGACTTCTCATCTGGCTCTGGCAACGCCAAAACGGCTGATTTGCAGTAGATTTTGTACAGACACATTTCGAAAGACTTGATTTAGTCACGGGCTGCATGGGGCGGTGTTGCGCGGGTTCGCGCATTCATATCAGAAACTAGAACAGAACCAGAATGACATAGTAATTCATTTTTTCACACTAGTTTGCTTGGTAGGAAAAATGCCACGGATTGGCTTTCTCGCCATATAAATGCAGGGTGGCTGCCGGTCAAGTCTCAATACAACTTTGTGTTCAGGCACGCAGAGAAAACGAAAGCATTCCGAACTCCCAGATTCCCTGCAGATAGCAATGCTAAGTCTTTTTCCTAAAATGTTGTTCAATTAGTTCACAATAAAACAGGTCAGTGACAGGGGTCCCAGGGTTGCGACTCCAATCAAAAATGGTTCCTTTCCCAAAGGCCAACGAACCAGGAATTAGAGCCTTACCGGAAAATAGAAGCAGCTAGCGAGACAGTCCAGGGTTTTTACTAGTTCACTGCAATAAAAGATGTGTTTCATTTTCTTTCCCAGAAAATCCACAAATCAGGGGCATTGCCAGGTTACCAAAAGCAAAGAAACTGTCGGAAGTCTTCACTCCAATCAAAAATGGCCTTATTTCCGTACCCGAGGGTTGGTCACGCTAGCCCTTTCCGGGCCAAGGCTCTGCCGAGAAGCACCCTGGAATCCTTGGATGGGTCTTCAGTACTCAGGCTTGCCGGCTGACAGTCAAGTGAAAGTTGGTTATGTGTTTCCCCGCAAAAAAAGAAATCTAATGAAATCAGTTTAATTCCGAGAATTCTGGCCGCCCCATATTTGGTTGCCCTGGACTGGAGGCCAAAAGTCAACGCAACTGACTCGAAATGCTTCTTTGCTGAGGCCCCAGGAGGAAGTCAACTACCAATGTACGGGGTTTGAACGTAGGTTTCAAGTTTCAATCTGCCACTGGAGGCTTCCACCCTTAAACAAATTGATGCATATTTAAATATATATATATATAATATATATGCATATATATATATTTGGGTGGTGCAGCCCTTCAAGCTACAAGTTTTTATTGAGTCTGAAGCCCACTGCTTCAGAAGCTGCCACTTCACCAAGAAAGGCTTATTTTTGAATACCCATCCCACCGTTGAAACCTTTGATGTTTGAAAGTTCAGATTTCAAACATCGCACTGAATTGTCCGACCAGTTTTTGATATTGATGTGATGTCTTAGTCTTATGTCAACCTTATTACACCCTTATTTCCACTCCATTGATTGCCCCAGGGAGCGAACGAAATTATTTTTCATTGGGTACTACCCATAGAGACCATTAGGTACCCGACATGAGTAAGCACTGCCCCGGTTGGCTTCCTCCTGCTTGACGCCAAGGTCATTGCCAAGCTGCTTCACCACATCCTGACTTTGCTGCGTGGGGAGACAGCCAATGGCATTGCCGATTTCTTCCCTTATTGGATTGCCCAGAGAAATGAATATATGGGGGAGGCAGTGAAAACATTGAATCCTGGACCTTTAGAGACATTGAATTTCATCAGAGCAGTTTCTTGCCGCATGAGGTATGCTCATTCCAAAACTTGCATTTTCCATTTGTGATATTCCAAAAGGGGCGGTGGCCTCATGGCAACCCTATTTCCACCTTATTTCACATGGATCCTCATATCATCAATAAGGTAAAATGATTGACCATATGGGGATTTGTGACATTAAAAAAGGGGTGATGGCCTTATTGCAACCCTATTTCCACCTTATTTCCGGGGGACCCTTATAGAATCATATAAGCTGACACGATTGTCCATATGTGGTTTGTGGCATTCAAGAATGGGAGATGGCTTCACTGCAACCCTATTTCCACCTTATTTCAAATGGACCCTCATATCATCAAGAAGGTAAAATGATTGGCCATATGGGGATTTGTGACATCAAAAAAGGGGTGATGGCCTTATTGCAACCCTATTTCCCTTATTTCCGGGGGACCCTTATAGAATCGTATAAGCTGACACGATTGGCCACATGGGGTTTGTGACATTCAAGAATGGGAGATGGCTTCACTGCAACCCTATTTCCACCTTATTTCAAATGGACCCTCATATCATCAATAAGGTAAAAATGATTGATTGGCCATTTGGGGATTTGTGACATCAAAAAAGGGGTGGTGGCCTTATTGCAACCCTATTTCCACCTTATTTCCGGGGGACCCTTATAGAATCATATAAGCTGACACGATTGTCCATATGGGGTTTGTGACATTCAAGAATGGGAGATGGCCTCCTGACTCCTTGCAACCTTGTTTCCACCTTATTTGAATTGAACCTTTTTTTATTGGCCATATGGGATTTGTGACATCAAAAAAGGGGTGATGGCCTTATTGCAACCCTATTTCCACCTTATTTCCGGGGGAGCCATATCATTATATCATCATAAAAGCTATTGGCTGTATGGTGATTTGTGAAATTCAAGAAAGGGCGATTGCCTTGTCGCAACCAGCATTTTCTTTCACCATTTGGGGAGCTAGACAAAGTACTTAGCATGCCTATTAGCCAGTTGAAGATTAGGGAAAGAATAGTTCACCCAAAAAATGGGATGTCATTCTCTGGGACCCTTAATTTTTTTGATTAGATACACCATATCATTCTGTATATCTTGTGTTCTTCCACCCTTTTAGCCCCTGCGTTCCCGTGCGAGCAGTTAGTTTGGGCCAACATTTTTGGTCAGCTTCAGTTTGAGGTTTCGGACGAAGAGTCGTCGCAATTTAAAGCTTATCATTTCTTATTCTCCCACGTGGGAATCCGCGGGTGTGCAGAACCCGAACTGTCACATCCTCTTTGGAACTCATATAAGCGAGCGCTACGAAATACAGATCCTAGGCTACTTACTTGATCCATGGATGATGTTTTTTCCCAAGCCCCTGAAATAGATGCATCCTTAAGGGGTCTACATTTTTCATCACGCCTGGTTATGCCTGAGGAAGGGTTGGAGTTCGCTTCAATGAAAGGATCCATTGCGGCCAACTATGGCCATGGGTCATTCATGTCGGGAGACCGCCATCAGATTCGACAAGAGCTGTTCAGGCAATGGCTGAACAAACAACCTGATGATTTCTTTCTGGAGATATCTGAGCAAATTTTGGAAGACAAACAGGCTGCTTCCGACTATACTGGGGAGGCCATTGTTGGCATCGAGGACCTCATGAAAATACCGGGCATTCGAAAGCGGGGAATGTTTGCATCTGACAGTGATAAATTCATCCGCACTGTTTGGGCGCAGGCTTTTATGATACAATTAATAGGGCCTGCCCCTCAATCGAAATTCCCACCCTTAACTTTCCACTGCAGAACCCTTGCCTCGCACTCTCTGTGAGGTAAAAAACAAATCGTTCTTCGGGATGGTTCACGCTTTCGAGCTGCTCCTGGCTGACTGGTCTGTTTTGAGAGCGGCATCAGCTGCTGTGGTTGAAGAATCTTTCGGGTCAGTGGCTTCACCGCACTTCAAGGGTATAATTTGTCTATAATTTGGCGACTATTGATTTAATTTGTCTAGAATCTTTGTTGAGTTTAGCAACTCATGAATTCTTGGGCGGGGCCATCCTTTTGTCGTCACGGCTTGGGAACGTTAGGGTGGTTGAAGTTGCATTGGGCAAATCATAAATGGCATGTGACTGAATTTTGCATTCCCTCAAAACCGCTCCCAGAAATAAGACAGGAATAAGACAGGAATAAGACAGGAATAAAGCAACAAGTTCTAATAAGGGGCATAATTGGTGGTAAACACAATGATAAACCATTTCAATGTTTAATGCTGCTCGGCAAGGAAAACGTTTGGTTGAGCGTGGGTTCAGGAATCCCTTTGGTGGGCTGAGGAAACCTGTCATTGCCACGGAAATAAACATGAGATAAGACAGCAATAATCAAAAGGATTAGTAGGACAGTTATAGTGGTTTGGTATGGCTTGGTCAACCTGCAACATCAAACTCCATTTTAGGGAACCCCACAAACTACAAATTTCCCACAAAAGTTTTGGGGTGGGAGGCTCCCTCGCCAGGAATAAACCAGGAATAATTTAGCAATAAGGGGTATGCATCCCATGTTTTCCATTCACCCACCATTTCTCATTATGATACACACCTTATTTTGATTTTGAGTCACACCTTCTAGGTGGCAAAAATATTGCAACACTCACCCGTCTCGTGAAGCAAAGTTCACAAATTAAGGGGCTCACAATCAATGACACGCCTTATTTCCATGGTAAATAACCACTTTGGTGTGAGCTGGGTCTATGTCTAACCTAGCCCGGCGTATACCCTTTGGCTGAATTGGGTAGGTGTGGGGCTGATCGACCCACCGAAATAAGCCCGGAATCAGACAGAAATAAGACAGGAATAAGGGATGATGGATGGTAAAGTACAAAATAACCGACAATTTATTTATATAACTATGTGGCTTTGTTTCAATGTTCACGGACCAAGAATCCAATGTAACCATTTGGTTGAATTGGGCCTGTGGTTCTGCGGTTGCTTGATAATTCTTGGGGTCGAATTCTGAATGGGTCTTTTGTCCCTTTGAATAGAAGAACCTTTCTAGTGATACTTCGTCGCCGTGATTGTGTTTCCCTGTGGGTTTCGCATTCCCACTTTTATTTCTCATCCCTTCGGCACCCGGCATTTCATTGACCACAAGCAAATCAAAGTGAAGAATTTTGTATTTGTCTCCAGGAATGATCTGGGAATAACACAGTAATAAAAGGGGTACAAATGATGGAATGGGTTTCATTGGTCCGTGGTTAGTTGCTAGGACGGTGTTTTCTGTCGGCGACTGAACAAGTAAAGTTAGGTTACCAATGGTTCCCACCGGGGGCTCAACCGAGATTGATGACGAACCTGATGCTGCCGGTCATGAAGAAGCGGCTGAAGGAGAAGAGCCTGCAGAGGAAAACCAGCCTGCAGCATCATCATCATCATCCCAGAAAAAATGGACCAAGAGCCAGCTCTACAACGCTTACAAAGGCCGTGGGCCTCATCGGATGACTTGCGACTTTCTTCACGAACCAGGCCTGCGGGAGCATCTGGTTATTCTAGTTGAGTGTGGAAAGCCTTTGGCTGAGAAATACGTAGCAGATCTGGATGCCCAAAAAGGCCGAACCCAAAGGTTGCGCTGGGCTGCTGGTAGGGCCGCACTTGGTTCCTCTTTGAAGACTGGGGTGCAGGTTCTGAAGGTGGCCTTCAACCCCTACTTCCACAGACGTCTGCGTTTGACCCCAGCATGTCCTGGGATGACTCTCAACTGTGATGACGAGCGCATTGCAGATGATGTGGCGCTGGTGCGTTTGGCCACCACATTCGCAGGGAACCTTGCTTCCAACTGGATTTGGAGCCAGCAGATGTTCTCTTTGACGCTTCCGTTTGCAGCTGCGAGCCTGCTGTCAGGGAGCTACTTGGGCGACACACCTAGCAGTGAACTGTGGGCCAACCTGCACATCAACCCCCACAAAAAGAATCATCCGGGTGTGGTCAGAAAAAAGCCAGGAATAAGACAGCAATAAGGGGCATGATAGGTGGTAAACTACATCATAGACCGTTTTGTGGTTTTGTTTCAATTCTCACTTTGAAACCAATTTCATTATGTTTAAATGGGGCTTAATGAATTCATATTCTGTGTTTTTTCAGCTGAGTCCCCAAACTGTAACCAATGATTTTTCCTGTGGGTTCAGGAATCCGTTTTGGTCTCGATCCCTTGGAGCATCCTAGACATCTGTCAGCTCCCACAAAAAGGGTGTGGGTTGGGTCCCTGGGTGTGAAGCTATCTCGTCAGAAATAAGGCAGGACTAAGGCAGCAATAAGGGGTTTGGTTGGTGGTAAACTAAATCATTGACCATCTATTTTGTTTTATTTCAATGCTCACTTCGGAACCAACTTCATCATATTTAAATTTTAAATGGTTCTTGGGGCGCAGTGGATTCAGATTCTCCGATTTTTCAGCTTAGCACCCCAAACTGTATCCAACGATTTGCTCCTTGAGTTTCAGGAATCCGTTTTGGTTTCGATCCCTTGGGGCATCGTATAGACCTCAGCTCCCACAAGAATCCGTTTAGGTCTCGATCCCTTGGGGCATCCTATAGAGGTCAACTCCCACAAAAAGGGTTTGGGCCCCTGGGTGAAACTTCCTGCCCAGAAATAACCCAGCAATAAGCCAGAAATAACCCAGGAATAAGCCACCACATAGTGGACCATGTTATGTTGTGGCTTTGTTCAATGCCTACCACGAAACCAATTAGCGGGGATGCCTTTCCAGAAAAAAGCCGGGAATAACACAGTATTAAGGGGTTGAGTTGGAAATAGCTATGCTCATACTACCTGTTTCTATGGGGGTGACGCGTGGCCCATGATTCTAGACGTACCTGTATTATGTAGTTTTTTAAATATTATATAATATTGTATATATATTATATGTATGTATAGCGAGACATAATATCATGATAGTTTTTCAAAAAAAGTAAGTACCACATTTTTGTGATCCAAGGTGACGAGGAGAGGCAACGTCACATGGATCACTTGCGCTGCATTGTTGAGGCAACCACTAAGGCGGAGGAGCTGGTAATAAGAGGAGCGGCCCCTGCTGGTTTAACCCAGGTACTGAATGATATTGGTTGGACATCTGAGCCCATGGCACGTGAGATGATGGTTCCTGGACTTTTTGTTGATTGTTTGAAATGGCATCTTCAGCAGTATCCGAAATTAAACCACTTTTTTTGTACCGAAATTCCATCGCGCAAGAGCACCCCATTTAAGCACCTTAAGCATTTTCATTTGGAAATAAGGGTGAAATAAGGGTGAAATAAGGGTGAAATAAAGGTGAAATAAGGGTGAAATAAGGGTGCAATAAGGGTGAAATAGGGTTCTATTTATGTTTCGTGTGAACTCGGGGGTCAATGTGCATAAACCGCCTAACTCTGGCAGCAAAAGCCAAGGCTCTTCTATACCAGAGCAACTTCAACATTCAGAATGACAAGGTGGTCCGTCGAATCATGTGGCGAATGCATGCTGGCTCGAGCACGACTCAATCAATCCTGGAGTCGTGCTTCGCGCATCTCCGGGACCTTGCACAGCGGCAGTCGAAGAGTACTAAGTACGCACCCAGCACTGCTTGGTTTTACAGTGCCTCGTCGCCTTACGTATCTGAATCAGGCATGGGGCAGGTTCTGCCTTCCACCACTGACTGGGCTCAGCTTTTCCAAAAACGAAAACAGCATCCCAACTGCGAAGAGGTCAGGGCATACCAGAGGGCATTCAGATTAGACAGCAGCCAGCTTCCAACTGCCGATCACATTGCATTTCCTAAGTCAGCGCAAGGATTCATCAAGACGTCCTGGCGTAACGCCGGGCCGTTGAGCCATTACAAGTCGTCAGCTGCCATGGGCCTGTTGCTGCAAGATTGTGAGGAAAACTTTGGAAACGTAAACAAGGCCTGGTGCGGCGTTGTGCTGACTCGGAACGGCCTGTTTTACCACACCACAACTGAGATGTATTTCCTGTCTCTTGGATTTCACTCGTGGAGCGCCTTGGGCATCACTCTGAGCGTGATGAAGGATCGCGGCCAGGAGAGGGACAAAACTACCTCCAAATCCCCATTCCATTGAATTGCAAATAAAAAGGATGAAAAAAAGAAAGGGACCTATTTAAAACTCCTGTGGAGTATATTCATATTTTATTCTAGAGTTGATTCCTGTGGGCCCCGGATTCTACCTTTGTACCGCTGCTGCTCCAGGAATAATACAGAAATAGGACAGTAAATCAATTTCTTTTGTTTTTCGGCATAGATTACATTGAAAAATCTTCGTTTTAGTCACCCGGAATTGAATGCAAAAGAGGAATAAGACAGTAATAAGGGTAGGATTGGTGGTCGATGTAATATTGGTTGAATAATAAGCCGTTTTAATCTTGCAATTTCCTTGCTTCAGCGGCCTTAATGTTACTGATGAACCCTGATTGGCAGGAATATCTCATCCTCGACCCGTCAAAAGCGGAATTGAAGTTTCTTACCTGCTTCAACGTGCGGGCCACTAGCAAATGGAAGCAGGCCGTTGTTGACTACTGCCCGCCATCAGCCCTTCCTCCACACATGGAGTTTGCTGCTGTGGGCTTTGCTTGGCGCGTGAAGGAGCTTGAGAAGCTCGGCCGGACTGGGAATGTTGGAATTACAGTTTGGAGCTACTTTGGCCCTCCGCACGTGAATGAATGGAAATTATCAAAAATTATTTTACAACTACCCCACAAATAGTTGAAATATTAGCCCAAATTTGTTTCCTTTGCCCAGGTGGCCTCTCAGGGTTGGCCTGCGGGAGAAAAAACTACCCTTGAAGCTGGACGAGCTGAAGCAGATTTGCTTCATGCTCAGTGTGCGTGTGCCACTAAGACGCATAAAAAAATGCGATTGTTTTTCTTTGTTCAAGAGGAATGGAAGAACAAAACCGGAACATGCCCAACCTTGGTTCAGGAAAATCTAGGTTTCCAGAAGGGGCATCAATAACTAAAATCAAATGGATCACAGGGGTTATCACTTTAAAATTGTAGGTCTGCCTTGAAGGAAATAGCACAGGAATAAGGCAGCAATAAGGGGTATGATTGGTTGCAAACCCAAAAATGCCGCATTTTAGGCTGTGTTGTGTCTTTGTTCACCCAGGGAACAATGCAGTCACAGTCACTGAAGTGGTCTATAGGATTCTTTGTTCGGGATGCCCTTCACGCGGTTGCCAGCCTGCGTTGCCGCAATCTGAGCATCAACTCCCATAAAAAATCCGGGTGTGGGGCTGCCTCGGCAGAACCCAGCCAGGAATAACACAGTAATATGGGGTATGACTGAGGGTAAACTATATCATAGACTTAGACCATGTTGTGGCTTCGTTTCAATGCTCACTTCCAAACCAATTTGATCATTTGGAAATGGGGTAAGTTAAAGCTTAATCAAATGATGTTCTCCTTTCAATTGTTTGGGATTTCGTTTAGGTCTCGATCCCTTGGGGCATCCTAGACGTCAACTTCCACATAAAGAGTTTAGGTCCCTGGGTGCGAAGCTGCCCTGCCCGAAATAAGCCAGGAATAAGGCAGTAATAAGGGGTAGGATTGGTTTTGACTGGTGGTAAATTACATCATAGATCACTTTGTGGCTTTGATTCAATGCTCATTTCCAGACTAAATAAATTATATATATATCTAATTGGAATGGGCTACTGTGAGTTCATATTCTGTGTTTTTTCAGCTTAGCTCACCCACATATAAAAGAATTGGCTCGGAAATCCGTTTAGGTTTCGATCCGTTGGGACATCCTATAGACCAGCATCAACTCCCACAAAAAGAGTTTGGGTCCCTGGGTGCGAAGCTGCCGGGCCAGAAATAAGCCAGGAATAAGGCAGCAATAAGGGGTATGATGGGCGGTACACCACATAATACTACAATTTTGTGGCTTTCTGTCAATGCCACACCAAAATAATGTCAAAAGAGACAGACATGGCCCAATGAGGCTGAAACCTGGCAGCGGCAAGAACGGGAACTTGCTGAAGAGGGACTACTGCAAGAGAGTCGTGGACACGGTGGTCACTGGGGCCACTCCGGAGGAAAAAGAGAAGATGGTTGCTGCAGTCTGCGGCCTGGAGAAAAAAACCGTTGATGTTGAGGTTCTGGCAGCCATGTCGCAGCTTGATCCAGAAAACCAAGAGGGTTTCCAGAAACTCCGGCGGATGGCGTTGGACACCCTGGAGGCAAGCATCTACGGATCTGCAGAGAAAGCAGCCTCCAAACAGAGCGGGGCCACGTTCGAAGAGGCAAAAAAAATGCCTGATGAGAAGGTCCCAAAACTGAAGGAAGCACATGCCCAAGCTGTGAGTGAAGCAAACAAACGGAACTTCGACCTCACACCAACGGATTTGAAACTCCTCCTGCCTGGGAAAGGTGAGATTCGAGGCTATTTTTGGGCTCGGTACAATCCACTGGAGGACTGGTTCAGGGTTACTTATCCCACAGGCGTCTCGGCAACAATGGGAGACAGTACCGCCAGTAAGACCGAATCCACATGCACACATACGGCACTGACGATTATTAACCCGCCAGAAATAGAAACAGAATAAGGATGGACACCTGTATCAAACGAATTGGTTCAGAAATCCGTTTATAGGTATCGATCCCTTGGGACATCCTATAGACCAGACACCCACTCCCACAGAAATAAGCCAGGAATAAGGCAACAATAAGGGGTATGATTGCTGGTACACCACATAAAAATAGTTTTGCTTCAACGATCATTACTTCGAAACAAGTTTGATCCCATTGAAAAACCGGATGCAGTAAATTCATATTCTCTCTACGCACCAAACTTATCACATGATTTTCTCCTGTGGTTCAGGACTCCGTTTTGGTTTCGATCCCTTGGGGCATCCTAGACAGCAGCTCTTAGTAAGAATCCATTTCGGTCTCAATCCCTTGGGGCATCCTAGACCTCAACTCCCACAAAAAGAGTTTGGGTCCCTGGGTGCGAAGCTGCCGGGCCAGAAATAAGCCAGGAATAAGCCAGGAATAAGGAGCAATAAGGGGTTTGATGGGTGGTGCACCACATAATACTACCATTTTGTGGCTTTATTTCAACCTTCATCACAAAACTAACCAAATAGTTAGATCGAATTTAATGGTGTCTACACTAATTTCATTTTGTTGTGTTTCATCTGACCGTAATTCTTGATGGAAAACAAGGATTCACAATCTTTCATCGCTGGGACCACCAGGAACATCAACTCCACCAAAAGAATCGGGCCCATGAGGTTCTCCATGCTGTCACCACTACCCCAGCTCAGCCGGGATGGATAGAGTAATTCATATACCGCCTTGTGATGTCGTGCTGTGTGCAGTGTAGAGACTTTCCGGGTTTATCTCAGCCAGAAAACCGGCTGCCATTAGAATTCGAAAAACAATTGTTTATCCTCATCTGATTGCTCCAATCAAGATTCCTTCTTGAATCATTAATGCAGCCTTATTTCATATACGGGTTCAGCTCACCCCAAAAGACTATACTATCTCTCCCTTATTTCAGCCTTTTTCCAATTTTTCTTTGGTCGACGGTCAACTCATTAATTGACATGTGGTTACTTGACCTACAACTCTTGCAAGCACCGTGTTTTGATGGCTATACCCAATCCGAGGCCAAGAATTCGAACCATCCCCCATCCAACCCTTCAAGTCACCTGGCCGTAACTGCAGGTGCGAACGCCGATGGCAAGCTTCCAGTGCAAAGCTGCCAGCGCTCATGGCCGACCGCAAGATGCCAGACCAGCAAAGATGCGCTCAAATCTGTTTTGGTTTTTACCTATGATCGGTACAATGAGCTGAACCCGCATGACAAGCGTGAAATGTAGCTGGGCACCACGAATTCGAACCAACATCATTGTTTTTGGGTGTCTATTTTGTTTTCCATTCCAGTACAAATAATCACCTGGGATGAATTGAAAGCAAACCATTGTTTTCCCCTTGCCTGTGAATGATTTTTTGGCCCCGTCAGGGAACGCGTGCTTTTCCACCATCCAGCAAGTAAGGTCAAATCCCAGAAAAAGGTGCATAAGTATGTCGTGTTACCGTTTGGGGGTCGTTTTCCCAGAAATAGACCTGGAATAAGACAACAAGTCGAGCCACAGATCATTTTACACCAGGGTTTTAATGTGAGGATCCGCACAACCCATTCGTTATTTTTCTATGGATTCAAAGGGGCATGTCATGATTGATCACCTCTCGGGGGCTGATTCACCAGAAATAAGCCAGGAATAAGGCAATCGTCAGGGGTATGATTTGTGGAAAACCCAATGATAGACTGTTCACCCACTGGTCAGCTTGGGAAATTATTGCTTGTATGGGTGGGGTTGCTTCCTGTTACATGGAATTCTTAATGGAGTAATCCGAGCAGGTGCCTGTGATTTTGTGGTAGCAACTTTGTGGAAACCATTGCGCCTCCTATTGCTGACGCTGATAAATTTGGATCATCATACATATTTCTTCCCCACCAAACGAAATCAATTTCTAGAAGCAAAGGGTGCCTTGCCAGAAATAAACATGCACTAAGGCAGTAATAAGGGTACGACTGATGGAACATCTGTGAAACCATTTGTTGGACTGTGGTACCTTGGTTTCCTCTTTCCACAGGCTTCACCATCAAACAAAATGAGGCCATCGGACGCAGAGATCAAAGCTTACACGGACAAATTGTGAAGTGCCAAAGGGCATCAAATGATGAACGCAAAAGAGCATGAAAAAATGCCGTTTGAAACGCAGGCCGCAGGAGTGTAGGCTGAGCACCCTTCAGCTTATGATTACTTCAGGGTGTGTAACATGGTACCAGCTGATTTTTCCAACATTGTGCAACTTAAAACCTCATTGTGGACACCTCAAAAAACCGTGGTTTGAAGTTTCTTCCATCAAAACAACCAGCATTGCAGAATAAGACATCCAATATCCACAGTTGAGGCATCCTGTACCCACATCAATTGAGCCAGGAGCCCTACTAAACAGAGATCACAATGATTTTCTGGTGATTTATAGGGAACGGGGATTGAAGGGGATTAATCGGGATGTAATGGAATGTAAATACCCTACCGAAACTGATATTTGCATTGGTTTGTCTGACAATGGGGTACCTCAAAACTTGTTGTTTTCATGGGGAAATAGAATTATGATCCCATGGGTTTAGTGGGTGTTCCTTTCCCATTTTCCAATGTCAATGTATACAGGTAACCCTCAATGATTCTGGGGTCAGTATTGGTGGGCCTGGGTACTTTAGAATTGGCGGAAATAAGATGGAAATAAGGCCTTATTGCCGAAAACAAGACAAAAGTTTATTCCCGCCTTATTTCTGAGGCTTTGGTTCCAGAAATAAGGTCATATAGGGTTTCGGAAATAAGACCGTTTACGGCCTTATTTCAGCACTATTTCTTATTTCAATGCTATTCCTGGCTTAATTCCTTATTCCAGTCTTATTGCTGCCTTATTCAGGCCTTATTACTTGCGCAATTTTCTGGGGGGGGGGGCTTGTGGGGGGTACGCTAGAATTCTGTGACTAAGGGTAGACTAGAGATGGATAGACTAGAGATGGTTTCAAGGGAGCCAACTTGGGCAAAGAAGGTCCTCAGGATGGTTTCAAGACAGAGCCAACTTTGGCAAAGAAGGTTCCAAGGATAGACTAGAGATGGTTTCAAGAGAGCCAACTTGGGCAAAGAAGGTTTGAAGGATAGACTAGAGATGGTTTCAAGGGGGCCAACTTGGGCAAAGAAGGCCCCAAGGATAGACTAGAGATGGTTTCAAGAGAGTCAACTGGGGCAAAGAAGGTCGCAAGGATAGACTAGAGATGGTTTCAAAAGAGCCAACTTGGGCAAAGAAGGTTTGAAGGATAGACTAGAGATGGTTTGAAGAGAGCCAACTTGGGAAGAAGGTCGCAAGGATAGACTAGAGATGGTTTCAAAAGAGCCAACTTGGGCAAAGAAGGTCCCAAGGATAGACTAGAGATGGTTTCAAGGGAGCCAACTTGGGCAAAGAAGGTCCCAAGGATAGACGAGAGATGGTTTCAAGAGAGCCAACTTCGGCAAGGAAGGTTTGAACCCTGGCCCTAAACCCTAAACCGTTAGGGTTTATTAACAAGTTGTTAGGGTTTGTTAACAAACCGTTAGGGTTTATTCGCGAGCTGTTACGAGAAGGAAGGTTTGATCAATTTGAAAAAGATATCATATTTTTATGTATATATTTATATAAAGATTATAAGGACTTCGAATGAGGATGTTTTAGGGTTTCGAACGGGGACGTTTTAGGGTTTCGAACGGGGACGTTTTAGGGTTTCGAACGGGAGCGTTCTAGGGTTTCTCGTTTTGTTAACATTATCAGAGTTGGAATGAAAAGATATGTAGCAAATGGACGGCTTCACAGTTGCAATTCTTTTTCTACCTAGAGAGCAGGTAAAGAGAAAGGAGAAAGAAAAAGAGATAGAGAGAGAGAGAAAGAGAGAAAGAGAAAGAGAAAGAAAAAAGGAAGGCAAAGACAAGAACAAATAAAAACAAAAAAGCAAGGATAAAGAGAAGAAGATTAAGAAAAGATTGAAAAAGAGAAAACGCAGATAAAAGCCGAGAACAACAAAAATAAAAGAATGAACAAAAAAGAAAATGATCAAAACAAAAAAATAAAAAAGAAAACATTGGCTGACATGGGCACCCCCATGGTATGCGCAATGGTTCCGCGCAAGAACCACAGCATAGATGATGCCTGCGCCGCCGCGCCTTCGCAGCAACAGCTTCAACGTGCTCACTCACATCATGCAAAGTCCTTGTGTTCAAGTAGCACTGCATGGTCAGCGTAATCTGACCTTTCTACCAAATAGCATCCTCTCACAACATATTGTCTCACATCCAATGTATGCGTAAACGCGCGTGTGTGCTGTCAATATGATACGGTAGGCTGTAATTAGTTAATATTTAAATAGATATATATTTTTATTTAGTTTAAACTAAAAATATACATATATACATATGTAAATAAACCACTAGCAACCCTCAGCCCTCAAACCTTTGTGGGGAAAAATGGGGGAACAACAAACTCCCGTGGATCCACGCAGGTGGCAGTGGCCAGAGCGCCAACGATGATGATGATGGTGATGATGATGACCAATGATGGTCAACGCTGATGATGATGATGATGACGATAACGATGACCAACGATTCAATAACGGCCAATGATGATGGTTGATGGTGGGAATGATCCTGATGTCATCATTCCGGTGATCATGTTTCCCTGAGGATTTTGTGGCTGTGGTAAATTGGTTGCCGATGAGAGTTCTACCATATTTAACCAATAATGAATTACTCAATCAAAACCATAACCGTTGGCATCAAGTGGGATATAGGAACGCAAGGCTATAAATGGGAAATCTATGACAAGCCATCATTAAACCAGGGGACATCTATGATGACAACAGTCCATCCACTGAGCGCCCGCTTGCTGGTTTTCCACATGAAATCTTCGACCTGCGTGGTCACACCAGTGCGCCTGGCCTGATTGCATGTCCCCTGCAACGAAGGGCAGCTGCAAGGACGGTTCTGTGTACCAAGATCTTTGATACTTTTAAGATATAAATATCAATATATATATATATAGTATGAATCAGGGTTTGGGCCCCACCGTCCCCGCCAGCAAGCCTTAACCCACCATCAATCAGCTGACGGTTTCCAGCTGATTATGGCTATGTACCAAAAGAGCCAAATATATAATGTATCGCTCATAGACTCGGGAAAGAAATGTGCGCCCGTGGCACGCAATCCCAATGGCCTTGATTTTGCCTAAAAAAGATTCTTCGTCCCAATTGGCAAAATTGCCAAGGTTCAACTTCCAAGTCCGAATCTGTTCAGATTGGTGGAACAGGTAGTGGGCCTTGGGCCTCATTCTGAAAATCATCATTCGTTTGTTGTAAAAATACGATGACAGCCATGCGTAAGACTGGAGGTGTAATTGCAACAGCTGCTTCTGTTGCGACACTATCCTCCAAAAGGATTCCGGAGCTCTCCAACAGGGCCACGCACTGTTGCACACTGTAGCAGCAAGTGCTCAGCGCTTGAAGCACGATGTCCTCGGAGTGCAAGGGTTGGTTCAAGACTCTGCCCCCGACCACGTGTTGCTGGCTGCTGACCCGTGCCCCAATTCCACATTTTGCTGTTCATTTGTTAATCCTTTCCATCCGCGCATCGTGCTGCGTTGGTTGTGTTGAAGTTGATGTTGAAGTTGGTTGAACTTAAGGTTGACGTTGGTGAAGTTGAAGGCGGAAGGTTTCCCATGTCAAAGGTCACCGATCTTCTTACCATATGTTTTGGACGATAAACCCTGAACAGTCAGCCCCTGTCGCTATAATTTGCTGGGGTTGTATCCTGGTCGGCCAAAATAAAAACACTATATGTTATTACAAGATACCCAAGGGGGTAAGTGTTCCCTTTCGTGTTTCTCATTGCGCGCCAACCCGGTGGGAGATCTAGTAGCTCGAGCTTCTTGCGGGGATGCGTCAGCTGCACGTTGTGTCTTCCTGGCGCACCAGAAAACCATAATCTTCACGTGGCTGGCTTTGAACTTGGTGCTGATCTCTGTGTAGTCTTTGTCGTTCAAGGTCACCTCTGTCAAAGTTGGCTTCCTAGGCAAATAGTACCTAGGCGCAAACTGGAGAATATAGGCTCGATCCCGCCAACAAAAGGGACATGGTACCATTGAAACGATTTAGGTGGCTAGGTGACACCAGTGAAAACCCATTCACAATCTTGATTGAGAATCTAAGTATATGTAAATATTTGTATATTTAAATATATATACATATGGGTTCGTCCAAAAATAATGTAACCTCACCAATGATTTCCCGATAACTGATTTAATAGGAACCACCATAACCATTCTCTGTTCCCTTTGTTCCGGGCATTGGGTGACAACTAGGGTTTTGAAATTTTGGCTGCTATGGGCATTGATTGCACTTCCCAAACCATTTGGGCAACGCAGTTTTCTAGCAACATCATTGGGCCAATGCTAGCAGGCTAGGCTAGCAAGTTTTCTTAGCAACAGCACGCACTTTGCTAGCAACATCATTGGGCCAATGCTGGCAGGATAGCAGGGATGTTAACAACATCATTGGGCCAACGCTAGCTATGATGTTTTTTTGACACAAATATTGTCTGGAGGCATTTGCCTATAAACATCCCTAAGCCAAAACCTTACCAACAATTGGTATACGCAACTTTCAATATCAACCACCCTTCACATAATATAATAGCATATACACACGGCAGGGGAAAGGGAGGACATGGTTCCATCATCTCACCACTCTTTTTTTTCCACGGTTGGTCGTCCGAACTTGCCGAACTAAGCAGCTTCTATCATCCTATCAGCTTCTCGCAACATCATGGTGATGTTTTTTTGAATCATTTTCAGCAAAAACCACTTGTGGTAAAAAGGTATACTTATCATGTATATCGGATCCACCGATCTCCGAAAATAGACGGTAAAACTCTTTGACCATAATCTTGATGCATTTAACCATGTACCCACAGAAACATAGCACCAATGACATGTGGTTTTCCCGATGGGCCATTAATAAAAATCATAAGACCCCGCATACAAACCACAGGACTACCATTTTTGTGGGAGGATATGTTGCCAATACCCCGCACTACTGCATGTTCCCCTTAATCATGTTTGGGTGTTTGATTGAATCATATTGAAAGAGATAAGGGAGGTTGACCCTACCAATCATTGTGAAACATGCCACCTATTAATGATCATGTTTACCATCCTGTGGTGAATCCAAGCTGTAGTCAAGCGATATCAAGCGAACCCGCATAGAATTATTGGGGACCAATGGAACTTGATATAATATACATTGGCCATGTTTGTCAAAAATGTATCAATAATTTCATCCAATAATAACCGATGGAATTTGTAACCTATGGTTTTCGATTGGGACCCTTGGTCTACCCAAGATATTCAACACAGGTTTCAACATCACGCGCTTGCTAACTTCCGCACTTCCGCTTTCACATGCAGCGGCATTCAAAAAAATCAAATAAGGAAGTTTGGCTCATGGGTTTGGAAGTATATGTTTTGACAATCTATAAAAAAATTGAACGCCACAAACAAGCTCCAGCCCAGCAAAGTGCAGCTCTCAAAATTGCCGGGTTCGAGGAAAGGCCTAGCAGGTGAAAGGCGGGTGACCCTACTGATATTTAGATGCGGGACCCAATGCAAATACCAAACATTGTGCAATCAAATCTCAAATAAGCAGTGAGTTTTGGATGGTTGTCATTTGACAGAATTCAAGAAAAGAGATGATATCATAAGTGAACATACTTTGATAAGACTTTGATAGATGTTGATACTAAATTAGAAGAAGTTTTCCTTTGAAGAGGCCTTCATGATTTTAGTCCACTGGCTCGTCGTGTTCGCCATCCTCTTCCTCGCCCGCTTCCATACCAGCATCGATATCAGCCAGGTCCTCGTCTTCAGCACCAGCTGGGGCTTCGAGGTAGGATTTGATCATGGCATCCTGGCACAGAAACAAAAAAAATGGAAGCAGTCAACATTTTTTGCATTTTTACCCAGACTGATTGCTATGAAACCCCAAGACTGAAAACAACACTACACTGTCAATCATTCAACACCACGTGATTTGTTGTGAAGTGGGCATGAAAGGTTTTGACATCTTTCCATGGAATTACTTATGATTGATTTTAATGTTGAAATCCTTTGAGACAAGGCACAGCCAACTCTCGTCCCTTTGAAATCTCCCCCTTGGTGCGCACCAACTCCGCTTTCACAGCATCCTTGGCGCACAGCAATCCAATTGTTTTTGGGTTCACGTTTGAAAACAACGGCTGTCGCGACATGACACCGAGTAAACAGAAACATGAGGGAACATAGCATCACATTAAAGACTGCAGTTGGCAATTAGAAATCCGAGCTTCCGCAATGGTCTCCATAACTTCATGGTTGAGGCCACTGACTGGCTTCACCTGGGCTGAGATGGGGCGGGCATGATCTTGGTAAATCAAAATCACAAACATTTCAACACTGTTTTTGTGACATTTTGTGACATGGTATGATGTTGAGCCTAGTCACACCCATGACTTCTTTGCCATTGACCTTGAACCCGTACTTTCCTGTGGGGTAACGGTACTTGTACACAGTAAAGGGCTTCGGCTTGGCAGCAGCGGCTGGTCGTTTCAACACTTTGGTTTTCTTTGTTGAGTTTGTTGCTGGCTTCTTTTTGGGAATGACATCACAATCCTCATCTCCATCATCCTCCTCCGCCTCATCCTCAAGGGGTGGGTCTTCCTTCGTTTCCTCTGCTTCCATTGTTTTCTTGTTCGAGTTTGTTGGCTTAGACGGGGCAGCCTTCTCAGTGGCTGGTTTTTTCTTCGCAGACGCAGACCCTTTGCCTTTGGCCTTTGCGGTGGGTTTGGAGCTTGCTTTCGGCTTCGGTTTTGGGGTGGATGCTGCTGATCCACCAGTAGCACGTGGCGGATCCTCATCCGACAACGTATCAACAGATGCCAACACCATGGCTGATGACAAAATGCTATGCAAACCGATCAGGGACATGACCCCACTAGACCTTGAATTGCAAACAACTGCATGTATATACACATGGCAACTTCACGATGCACAACGTACGCATGAACACCAGTGCACTGCAGACCGGTACCACATCAGTATCAAGTTGCAATAGGTTCTGACTGAGTGTTGATCAAGTTTTTTGTCACATTGCAGATCATCGCAGATCCAGGTTGAATCAACCCCCAAGAATTTGGTCTTGGAAACCAATGTTCGATCAAAACGGCAGTGCATCTTCCTTTTTGAGCAGGGGAACCCTTGGATCCTTGAGCATCAACTAGTGGACCCAATGAATGCAATTATAGGAAAGCAGTTGAAGAATGATAATAACGAGTGAGGTGACACAATGTAACCACTGTTCTTTCAACACCTGATGCCACCAACCCAAAAAGATTCCCAAAAAGCTCTGCACTGAACGCATGCCCCTCAAGTTCTTACTTGAGTTTCACAGCTGTTGAAGCAGGCACTTTCACCTTGCCCAGAAGGTAATATTTGGGCTTGACAGGGGTGATGTTGCACGGAACCCCCTCTGTCACTTTGACCTGGCAGGTGGACAGCGGGGGACATTGACTTCCAGCATAACCATCCTGTTCAACCATGATTTGCAACTTGGCGGTGAATGTTGGCAGGGTTGTGGGAACGGATTTTAATAAACAAACAGGAAACAACACCCTTTTTTGTCTAATATTGGACTGCGCCGTTTTGGGTTTTACGTAAACTCTGCGTAAAGACCATGTGCCTCCCAAACAATGCCCACGTGCGGCGCGTTGGGTAGCTGGTTCAACTTGTTGCACCACAAACTGCCAAAAAGGGCAGCTCGCAAGTGGAGCTTGTTGTCATCACCCTGCAGTTCACGGGGCTTGAACGCGTTGATCTTCTGGTCTGCCTGGACGGTGTATCTGTAGGATAGTGCCAATTGCGATCCATCCGGCATCACCTGCTGCAGGAATGCACCAATGCACATTCATAGGTTTGTATAATACGGGGTTATAACATGTTATAACTATGTTATTTGAAGCATGTTTGAACCATAGGAACCATTCTTTGCTTACTTTGAAAATCCTAGCCTTGACCTTGGCGGCCAATGCATGATCCGTCAAACGGATTTCTGTGATTCCACGTGTGCGTGTAACATCGCAAATTGCATCAGCCACTGTGCAAATGCGCTTCTCACTGGTTGCCGCTGTTGGCACCACTGCCACAATGAGTTTGTCATGGGGAACGTGCCATGGGATACTCCCCGTCAAAGATCCATGTTGGTCTGACAGGGTTAGCGTGAGATATGGTTCAACTTGTAATGGAAAAACCAACATGATTAAAACAAACCTGGTTGGATTTCAACATGAACTTTTTGGTTCAACTTGTAATGGAAAAACCAACATGAGTAAAACAAACCTGGTTGGATTTCAACATGAACTTTTTGACAGAATCATTGGATTGCCTGAGTTGACCTCTTGGTACGATCCGGTGTTGAAACCAAACAGCTCACCAGCCGGAAGTTCAATTTCTGAATTGCCCCGATTCAAGATCCACAAAGATCCCAATGTTGTCAAGGCCACGTTTAGGCCAGGCTCCCTCGCAATGGTTGCGCACCCTTCTTGCCTTAGAGTAATGTGGCAAACTCTGAACAAAGGGTTGGGTTCATTAAAGAATAATAAATAATTTTCCGAAGGAAATATAATCTAGGTTCCCCCCCAAAAAAAGTGCCAAATGCAAATGGATGGTGCGTGTTGCTACTGTCGAAATCAGCCACTGAAACCCCTGCCAAAGACAATGTACGTTGCCAGTTCACCGGGGGGTCATTGTCCCATTGTGGGCTGGCCATGGTCCTGCTGCCACCTGCAGCGGCTGAGGCATTTGACTCAAGCCGGCGAATGACGGACTGGATCTGGGTCTCTTGGCTGATCGTCTCCTCCAACTTCTTGATGGCATCGGCATGGGTGGCTGCGAACTTCTGGTTCACCATGTCAGGGATCCTCAACATGGGTTTTCCCAAAATGATGTTTTTTTTGTTCACGGGGGTTGATGTATACATATGGTATCATATGGTATGATAAGGCCATGGGTTAACACAATGTCTGTTACCCGTTTTCAAAACTGATCAAGAACTTGTATTTAATCATAAGACATGTTTTGGGTATAATGCGAACAAAGTGGCTTCAGAGAACCTTCATGGATGGTCAAGCACTCCAACGATGGCTGCGGTACCTGAAAGGGTTCAGACGCCCTTGCAGCGGGGCCTGCATCTTCGGATTTGTCCCACCACTGGTTCATTGCCCGACCCGCAATGAGAGAAGAGTTCTGGTCCATATAGTGGCCATCATTGTCGTGGTAAATCCCAAGGAAATGTAAATCCCACATGTCACTGGCATCCTGGTTCGTCAAGAAGTCCCTCTGGATATCCCAGGCTGCTTGGGACCATTCACAGAACCTCTCATCAGGGATGGCTATTTTGGGGTTATCTTGTTTATGATTGTTGATGTCTAAAACATACAATGTTTTTTCATCTATTTTGTTTAACCACCAACCACCTCGAAGAGATCATGTCCACCACCAACACTTTTTGCCCCTGGTGATCGTTCATGCCCTCAAGCAACTTGAGAAGGATCTTCCGCGTGGCTGGAATGCCTCGCTGTTGGACCTGGTTGGCACCAATAAGCGAATAGATATAAAATGACATAAACATAGACATAGACATAAGGTCATAATCATAGCTAATTACACCATTGTCAGATCAGTAAACGAAATTAAACAAATTGATACGCAAATTTCCGGTAAAAAACAACTTTGTTTCCGAGTAACCCTGAAGTTCGGGGCCAAAGGCTTGTCTGGATCCGGGTTTGATAACTCTGAGACCCTGCTCCTCTCGATGCCGCTGAGGCTTCCAAGAAGTGCCTTGCCACGTCCAAAGGCGGGGTTGGCATGGCTGCCAGAGATACCGGCCAAGCCTGTCGAGTGGGGCGTGTTTGGGTGAAAGAGTGATTTTTGGATCTTTGTTCAATCCTAAAGTCCGAAAATAAATTTTACCATACACAGGTTCCAAGAAACACTGTTGCGACTTCTTGCGACGGTCTCCTTGGTGTTGGGGATCTGAAAAGTTGAGCGCAATCTCGAAGGTGTCCATTGACCTACAACTGGTTGAAGTTGTCAATACAATGGGCTAAAGCTGTTGGTATGAAATCAGATGTCAATATATGTCAATACAACAGGTGGTAAAGGTGGTAAAGGTAGTATATAAACCATCATGATTTTTGCCAACAAGACACTGAATGATCTTATCTTCAAGTAGGCGTCTGTGCTTCAGAGTAGCCTGCTTTGCCGCGTTGTTGTGCCACTGCGGCAAAAGCCAAAAGGAAACCGTCTGGGCATTTCCGGATGAGACACCCTGGGCAACATTCACCGCTTCATCGATTGACAAAGCTCCTCAAATGACTACATAGGGTAAATTCAAGAATGACCCCAAAGTACAGATACCAAAGTATCTTAAGATTGGTAGGGGTCAAGTGGGGATAAAATCAAAACTTTGGATGCCATTTAAGGGACTAGTTGGCCAGAGCGTGCAGTCACCCACCAAGATCGTCAGCCTTTTGTAGCTCTAACATGAAATGAACATGGGTTGGAACGAACATGCATGGTTACAGGAAACATGTGTTGTATAAAATATTATAAAATTCATTGAATTCAAGTGAGAAACGCATTGGTTCCCATCTTTGCTTGTAGCTGGACGATCGATGCATGGGCCAGCACCAATGATGGCACCCTCACTAGCTGATGCTTCTCCGACATGAACTGATCAACAATGGATTTCCCCTTGTGAAACCTGTCATTGATGTGCTTGTAATCCAAGGCAGCCTTTGCAGGGTTGGACTGTAAGCTCATGGACAGATAGTGTTTTGGATTCTTCACCCGATAAACATAGATAAACATACCACTATTGGTTTTCAGCCCGAATAGTTGTGTTTGAAAAAGAACACGCCTGTTTGGAAGCGTACATCTCAAACTGCTGGCTCCACTCAGCCAACTTGGCCAGGTCATTTGCACACTGGAGCTCGGTTTGCTGCCACGTGGTGTTCAGCAACTGGCTGGACAGCCTTGGAGATGAACCCCGAAAGAAACCCTAACCAATCACATGTTTTGAAGCTTACCCATATTGTCATCAACCAAAATTTGAGGGATCCATAATTCCCCAAATTATCACCAATCAAAATTTCAGGGATCCACAATTCCCATATTGTCAGCGATCAAAATTTGAGGGATCCATAATTCTACCAGTGCGGGCAAGAAGCTGCTCAGCTCGCAGATTGGTTTGCTTCTCCACCTGGTGAGTGTGGCAAATTGGTTGATTCCTAACAAGATGAAGTTATTAAAAAAATGAAACAACAAAAATTCAGAGAAAGAAACACGGGTGTACTAGCACAAACATGTACATTAGTTTCTCAACAGAATTGTTCAACACTACATAGACATACACATTGCATATGAATAGTGCAGGACAGGACTATCTATTATTATATTATTATATAAAATTATATAAAATTATATAAACATGTTTTTTTGATCACCCACCAATCCTCGGATTGGTACTTCTTCAATGGCTGCAAGAAGATACTCACCCGTTCCACATCTGCTGGGGGGACCGAAGTTTCCAGCATCTGCAGGATGTCCGAGTCAGCATGCCGAAGCTCAAACCTGAGGTGGGCCGAACCGGGGAAGGCGGTATGGTTCAGACACAAAATAGTAAAAAAAAACGTATGTTCAATGTGTTTCTGACCAGCAGCGATTTGTGGATTTCCACCAACGCCAAACTGGCAAACTTCTGAGGAACCAATGTCAGAAACCGATCCAAGCATGCGTTGAATCCTCCACATACTCGCTGTAGCTGGGTCTTAGCAAGTCGAAAAGAAGCTGTTTAGAAAAGCTGTTTTGAGGCATCAGGCAAACAAACAAGGTGCAAAGTAGCGAACCAGATTTAAATAAAACAATAATGAAAACCAAAACAAGATTCCAAGTCCTTCACATTCCATGGTTTTCGGGATTTCGGCTGGGTAGCAACCCAATCAACCTCCATTCGGCGGATCATATCATCCAACACAGCTGGGGTGTTTGTGAGATGCTGCCTCCATGGTAGAAGAAAGCCGGTCGCACTGCAGTAGTCTGCATTCAGCAATCCTTCTGCGATCCCGTCGTGGTTCACGAACTTCGCTTGGGTGTGAACCCTACAGGGGTCAAGAACAGATCTCATTTAATTGACAATAATTGACACGATATCAATTGTTTTCTCTCAGTCGGGGAATGCAATTAGTACTATAACCTTTGAGCATGTGGGTAACGACACCAAACAGAAAAACTGTGGTAAAATATGTTTATTGGTCATGACATCATGGTAAAACTGTTGAAAGAGTAGAGAATCATATGTTCCAGGATAAATTTAACCGAGGATCCGAACCAGCTCAGTGAGAGCTTCCTTGATGTTCGTGGGGATGTGTTTCAACAGGTTGACTGCTGCGGCTGACTCTTTCTCCCCCAAACTGTACGCTTGTGCAAACGCTGAAACACTTTCATGTGCCTGGCACAGGGGTACCCCAAACATGATAACTAATCAGGTAAGGGAAAAATACCCCTAGTTCAAACAAATTCAACGCAGGTGGGTAATGACGGGTGTAATAAAAACATATGATAACATCCAGCCTCGAGAGATTTCACCGACATCTCTTGGGTCATGCCCGAACGCTCCAAGAACTCAAGTTGGTGAAGTAGATTGAATGCATTGGGACGTCTCCGAAGGGACCCACCAAGCGTCACCCCTGACGCATGAAAAGGAATTTTGTTGATTATTAATTATTTCAATTCCATGATTTGGTATCATCACCTCACTACTCAACTTACTTGCAGCTTGGTCACCACGATTGGTGTTCACCACCAAGTTGCTGTCAGACTTGACAACCGTGGCATACACGGTGCTGAAGGACCTCAAAACATAAAACTCCATAATGATAATGGGTGGTGGGAAAAGCACCCTTCTATCATCAATTTTATCCAATTTGATCCATGGTACGTCTTCACTTCCGGGGGTAGCTCCTCTCAGGGACACCAGTGAACATCAGACAACCAACATATAATCAGCAATCGGGGGTTTGTTTGTGTTGTATGGTAACCCCTCCTGGAGCAGAAGGCCCGTGTCATAGCAACAGTAGAGAATGCCCAAAGCACAAAGGCACCTGTTCCAACCTTTGACAAGGAAAAGTTTTCCTGGTGATGCAAGTGTGGGCTCCGACAGATCTGCACTGGTAATCTTCGATGCGGGGGTGTAGAGCCATTGGGATTGGACAGCACATCCAACCAATTTTTCAACTCCTGGTCGATTGGGATCTGTTTGGAAGCCATTCAACAGAATCAATTGGCACAAGGCATGCTGATCTTCCTTAGTTGGCAATGCCATGTCAACATGAATTGGAAGCATAGGTTCAATCAGACTGGTCGATGATGTTTGGTGGTTTGACATCGATTCAAAGATTGCAATATATAATTAATTCAAAAGAAGGTTCTGCGTCGCTAGTGCCCCGCAAGCCATAGTCTATCCGGAATGGAAGCTGAAACGGCCGCAGGTGCAAGGAGTTCCCTTCCTGCAGCAGGTCCGCCTCTGTGGCATAGGTCCTGGGTGTGGCATGTGGTAAAACGATGTAAGAAGGGTATCAAATAGGGGTGACATTGGAATATCATGAGATCCACAAGGGCCAGACGTACCATGAGCTGGAGGAAATTCGGAACCAATCCACGTGTAGAACTTCGTCGCATGCTCCTGCATTGTTGGATGATAAAAAATTGTGAATCAGAATAATATCACATACACAACAGACTTTGACAACATGGTTTATTTCAGGACCACACCTCGTTTGCCAGCCTGTCGGTCAGGAAAACATCTAGGGTCTTCTTGGATTGCACCAGATTGTCATTCCTTAGCAAAATAACGGTTAGGTTGCCGACTAATTCATGATTATCAACGCTCGCATTCGTCCAAACAAATCACTTTATATCAATTTATGGTGCGGTTAAGTTACACCCATGTGTCAAAGAGACGGATGTGAGGCAATTGCAAACTATCCGGGGAAATAGCTGGAAGACTGCTGCCCTTGGATTTCTTCGCAGGCTTCTGCTTGGGCTGCCCACCACCACTAGGCCTCTTGGGCATCACCTGGCATGGAGCAAAGCTGTTGATGATGGTGTTGACAAATAATATAGAAATTGTGAATGAAACCAAATCAAATATTATCCTGTTGTGTATGTTTTCTGAACAGAGATTTATTCACAATCTGCATCATTGGGGGATAGCTCGATTTTGTGAATTATAACGACCCGATAATTCACAAAATCCCTGGGGTATCTATCGGGGCACAGGTGATAACATGGTCAAAGTTTTAAAAACCAAGAATACCAAAAGAACACTGGGATTTTGTGAATTATAACGACCCGATAATTCACAAAATGGTTGATTCCACAGGGTAGGCTTGTTGTGAAAAATCTTGCATGCACAAAACGAATCTTTTCCACCCCATGGTTCACACGGGTGCTTCGACAATGGGACTCATTCTTCTCGAAGTGGCTCAAAAGAGCCTGGGAGCTAAAAGACGCCGAAGAGCGGTTGCGCAGCAGCCTCGACAAAGAAGTGGCCCAGGTGTTGAAGAGGAAGCGCCTCCTTCTTTTGGGAGAAATCCTCAAGGAGCTGAAGTATCTTGGTCAAAGACATTTCCAATCGCTTTCGTCTATCAGGCTGGATGAGGGATTCCTTGGTCTTCCAGAAAAGGCCAAAACCCCCTGCGCACAGCAGGGCCGCGTTGTTAAGGATGTGCAAAGGGCTGAGCCAATCTACTGTGAGAAAAGTCCAGGCCGAGGAGCCCAATGATCTTACTTGTGCCGCTTGGAAAGGAACTCAGGATGAAGTGTGCAAGAGTTGGATAGTTGAAGACAATGAGCCTGACCTCGGTAACCTTTGCATAGCGCGGCGGTTTGGGGTTCAACAGAAGTCCAAGATTCGAGTGATAGATGACTTTAAGCAGTCTGGTTTGAACGGTTCTTGCGGCCTGCCAGAGAAGCACAGCTTGTTTTCCATAGCGGCGTCGTTGGTGCTGACGTTGAACTCGGCCGGTGCCCACGCCGGGATAAGCCTTAAAGGCGCCGCGTTCGATTTGGTGTCGGCATACAAGCAGTTTGCGGTGCGCCCGGAGGACAGAAGACTCACGAGAGTCTGTGCGCTGGACACTGACGAGATGAAAGCTTGCGTTTACAGCATGCGTGCGCTTCCTTTTGGAGCTACGGGTTCTGTTGCTGGCTTTCTACGCGTCTCAAGTGCAATAGCTTATATCGGCCAAGTGGACTTAAGACTTTGGTGGTTCTTGTTCTTCGACGACTTCCCGATTGTCTCAGAAAGGACTTCGGGCAAGACATTGTGCGAATCGGACATACTAAGCAGAGGAAAGAAGAGCTGATTGTCACCCTGAGGAGATTCTATCTGCTGGGCGACTTTCGTCCAAAGATGCTGAGAGCTTGCGTGGGAGGTTTCACTGGTACGACACCTTCCTCTTTTGGCAGGGTGGCGCACTACTCAATACTACTTCCTCCCACAAGCTGGGTTCTGAGTTGCAGAGGGCGTTGGAAATGATCAAGGATTATGTCCTCGCTGCAGGACCGTTAGAGCTCCCAAATCGGGCCGCACGCTTTTTGTCTTCTGTTTCCGAACGAATTCTGTAATTTTTCCTCAAGTTCTCAAACCACTCAATTTTTGAGGTCGAGGCCATGGCGGCCCTATTGTCGCTTTTGCTTGGGGTAAGCATCTAACCAACACACCTTGTTATTTATCGTTTACAACGAAGCTTGCCGTGGAGCATACATAAAGGCCTATACTACTGTCAAGCTGGCAAACCGCTTGATTTCGAAGTTTTGTCAAGCTGGAACTCTCTCTAAGATTAAAGGTCTGGTTTGGACGAGTGTCCACCTCGTCCAACCCGGCCGATGAACCGAGTCGCATGGAGTGTGACGCTCTGATAAAAAAGAGTATCTGTCGATCAGCAATCAATTGGGATGAAATGCGGAACATTTTGGATGAAACAATTTGACGCTTCTGTGGGGTGTGACTCGAGTGTCAACACGACGTAACTCTGAGATTCACCCCATTGCAGTTTAGAAAATAGAGACTTGGGCGCAGCTGTCGCGTTGAAACAGTTTGTTGCTTGTACAAACTTTTTGGGTTTGGAGTGAACCTTTTTTAGAAACCCCTATTTTTCAAGTCACTACTGTGACACGTTTGTATGTTTATATATATATATATAACCCGTTATTTAACACGGCGCGCGTATGCGAAGGCACGTAAGGTTTTTATATTGGTTGACAGATAGGTAACGTACGCCTATGTCCCATTTCGTGAATTTTGCGCTGTCACAAACAATTTTGAAAAAACCCGTGCTGTCTGCCGTCTTGTGAAACTTTTGTGTCCGACAAGTTTCACAAACCTCCATGTTTTCATTTTATTTCTCTGTGTAGTGTTTTTCACCTCAAGCAGGGTGCACGGTAGGTTTGCTCCCATGTATTTTGGATGCTTCTTCTACGCACCTGTTTCACTCCCTCCCTGTCTTTCTTCTGGGTTGCCTGCCGGTTCCCTCCCCTGTCGGGATTTGTCACTCTTTCGTCCCTACTGATGGTACTGTAGTCCATCTCTTCAGACGTCTGTCCTTTTTTTCCGTTTTGCCTAGCCCTTAGCCTGTGGCTCGGGCGTCAAACGACGTAACTCTGAGATTCACCCCATTGCGGTTTAGAAAATAGAGACTTCGGTGCAGCTGTTGTGTTGAAAACAGGTTATTGCTTGTGCAAACTTTTTGGGTTTGGGGTGAACCTCCTTTTTTGGAAAAACCCCTAATTTTTCAAGTCACTACTGTGACACGTTTGTATATTAGTTTTATATATATATAACCCGTTATTTAACACGGTTACACGCGTATGCGTAGGCACGCGTAGGGTTTTATATTGGTTGACAGTTTCCATAGTGAAATAAGAATGGAAATTGAATCAAAGCACGGAAATTGTGGCTGATGTGGATGGCCATTCTAAGCACACCTTCGCAACCCACAGAGCCAGCCGCTGCTGGCAAGATCACATCTCACTTGTTTTGGCCGTCCTTTCCAGCCTTTCCTTTTCCTCGCTTCTGGGTTTTCTTCTTCTTGGAGTTGGCCAGGAATGCATTTGCAGCTGCCTGGCGACGATAGGCGCCAGGATGGGCAAAGACAGACAACCACGCAAGAGGAACCAACATAGCGTACCCATTCAAGAAATTACCCAGCTTTGCATTTCCACCAATGGGGTACCCAATAATTACAGTAAAGTAAAGTGTTTGAACTCCAATTCAGAGTCTACCGATGGGGGATTTCATTCCTCTTAGGGTCAAGGAATGGAATGCGCAATGGGTGGAAAGGGGTGTGCATATAATATGTGAAAAGGTGTGCGCGTATAATATGCGAATGTCACTGCAGATCTGTTGAAGAAAATGAGGATGACATCTTTGTTTTTCCTGGACAGGTGGACGCTTTTCTTCAAAGCCTATTTGCTAGCATGTGTCAGGAACTCAGCTGGCTGGGCCTGAAACTTCTTTGTTGCCTCGCTCTTGGCTTCAATCTGTTTGACGTAGTTTTCCAACTTGGCGTCGTCGACTCCGCCCTTCAAAGCACCCTGGACCTCTGAGTACAGAGTTTCAAACTTGTCAGCATGATCTTTGATAGCAGTGTGAAGATGTTGGGCGTAGTCCAAGCCCTTCAACTGGATGGCTGATGTTCGGGCTGATCCGCTTTCTTTCAGAGCATCTTCCAACAAAGCCTTGATTTTGTCGGCAACCGATTGTGGTTCCACAGCCTCAGACTTCTCTTCCTTGGGAGGTCTTCGGGCTTGCTTCTTTGCAACTGGCGCCTGTCGGAGGCAAAGCTGTGTTGGCTGAACGGCTGCTGGATGTGGTGGATTGATAGGAAGTTGTGGAGGGTGGAGCATTTTTTGTTTCGTTTAGCTTTGATTGGAAGACCCAACAAAAGAATAACCTAATATCACCAAATTGCAGGTTCAACCTGGCATCCCTCCCCCAATAGCCTTAGCCACAGCATCCAAGAGGAAGGCATAGCCCCCACTCTCATGCTTTATTTGAACTGTAAGTTCATGATGCTTTATGTCTTCTGATGTTGCAATCAGAAAAGTCTCAACTTTTCTTTCTTTCCTTTGGCATAGGAAAAAAATAAGGGAAGAAGAAAGCCCTTCTCGATTAATTTAAGTTCAGGATGAAGACACGAAATCTTTTGTATTTCGTTTCCTTTCACGCAGTGAAGCCGTCTGTTGCGTTTGTGATTTGACTATGCATGACAAAGTACGTTGTAAGTTTTGAAAAAAAACGTCATGAGTCGAAATCACTATACTGCAATGACAACCTGCAATACGTTTGAATCCTATGCCATTTTGTTTCAAGCTAGGGTGGGAGTGGAGGGAAAGACCCTTTCCTAACACGAGCAATTTTTGAATGCGCCAGCGTGGCCCTCAAGCTCGTGCTGCATCACTGTTTACACCTAAACAAACCAGTGTGGGATTTGGTGGCATTTGCTGTTTTTTGCTTGGAGTCGGTGCAGGCCTGCTCGGTGCAACTGTCACTTTTCTCATCTGGATTTTGATGCAATAGGTACCTGCGTATATATGATTTCCACCGATACAGAGGAACTGCAATTGACCACGGTGGTGTGGCAACTCAGGGCATTTCGCGATTTGGTGCACAGGTGGGCGTTCCGTTTGTGCGCTATTCTCGTCGTGATTGCAGGTTTGCTACTGCTACTCCTTCTCATCCTTCATTTGCTGTTTTCATTGTGAAGCAGGTATGGAAAAGGGGAACAAACAAGCACTTTTTGAACACATCCAGTTTTGTGAAAGAAAGATGCGCAAAACTGCAGTGAAATATCCATGGGAGTTGAGCTCGATTCAAAAAGCGAGTGTGGAGAACGATCTGCTGACCCCTCGATGGGGACCTTTTGGTATGGCTCCGCTGGTGAAACTATCACCAGAAGTGTCTGAACCTCAGGAACTATCCACGGCCCGACATTGCAGCAGTTTGCTCAACAAACAACCTCTTGTTGCATGGGAGTCAAAACTCGATGCTCATAGGGAGGCAGCTGTGGT